TCAATGGACACTTATGTTGCTCCATATCTAGGCTATTGTAAGCAGTGCAGCTGTGAACACTGGGGTGTGTGTATCTTTTCTAATCAGGGTTTTTCACTTTTTTCCAATAAATACCCAGGAGTGCATTGCTGGGTCTTGTGGTACTTCTATTTTTAGTGTTTTGAGAAACCTCCACATTGTTTCCCACAGTGGCCACACCATTTTACATTCCCGCTGACGGTGTAGGAGGGTCGGAGGGGGGATTTGTTTTGAAGGAACTTGGTGAGCAGACACACATGTTTCTGTATGTGTAAGCATGTGTACCAGAGCTCAACAAAGAGCATGCTGGATGGGGAATGGAAGAGTCTGACTTGTGTCAAAGCATCATCACTGCCAGCAGGAGCTTCTCGACACCTCATCTTTTCCCGTCTGCAACTGGGGAATGATTATATCTGTCTTCACCACTTCAGAGGGATGCTGAGAAGACAAATGAGATAGTGTTTGGGATAGCACTTTGAAGTCTTGGTTGGATGAGAACTGTATAAATCCAAGCTATCATTATCATGTCAGGGCGTGTTTATTTCTCATGTATCTGCTCAGAGTCACAGGGGCCATGCATATATCATGTGTACATCCTCTCCTTCAGGTTCAGTTCCCAGAAATGGTCAGATGAACATGTTTTTCTTTCCCTAACCCTCCTTTCACCTATATTATTCTCTTGACAGAATTTTACAGTTATTAATGTTGCTGAAGACTTCTTAAAGACCCTCGGAAGAAAGGATTTTGCCCAGTATAACTTTCCAAGGCAATTATAATGATGATACCTTACTATAAAAGAGATGTACAAGTTATAAAGAACCAGGGCTCTGCCTCACAGAATGCTCAACAACAGTCTAAGAAAGGTATGATTTTTCCCCCCACCATTTGACAGAGGGACGGTGGCTCAAGAAGTTCAAATAATTGACCTAAACCTTCACTGTACATGTTGGAGTAATTCAAACTAATGAAAGAACTGTGTTCTAAAAAACAGAGTGAATGAGCAGAAGGGATATTGAAAGAACTGAGCCATATCCCAGGTGACACTTTTGGAATTGTGTGAACATCTTTCATCCCTGTATCCCAGACAATCTCCAGGTCTTTCATAATGGGTTGCTGTTTTTCAGTCACTAAGTCCTGTCCACCTCTTTGCGACCCCATGGACTGTAGCCTGCCAGGCTCCTCTGTCCATGGGGTTTCCCAGGCAGGAATACTGGAGTGGGTTGCCATTTCCTCCTCCAGGGGATTTTCCCCACCCATGGATTGAACCGGAGTCTTCTGCATTGACAGGCAGGTTCTTTACCACTGAGCCAGCAGGGAATCCCTTGATAAGGGGTGCAGCTAGGCATTTTCTGGTCTAGAGTTTCAAAAGCTGGACCATTCCACTCAGGGCCTTGTGTGCGTGCATGCATGCATGCTAAGTGGCTTCAGTCGTGTCCGACTCTGTGCGACCCCGTGGACTGTAGCCCACCAGGCTCCTCTGTCCATGGGATTCTCCAGGCGAGAATGCTGGAGTGGGTGGCCATGCCCTCCCCCCAGACCTTGTGTACTGTTCTCTAAATACAAACAAGTAACTAAAATAAGAATAAAATAAAACCTAATTGTCCTTTGGTCTCCAGAGTCATTACCTGGTTAAGTGTCAGCTTTCCCTTGTAGGTCACACATCACGCTCAGGTGTGCCTGAGGTGACCTTCGAGAGACATCCTTGGGACAACAGGAAGAAACTGGACTTTGAATCTGGACATGAGGTTGAGTCTCAGTCCAAAGTGGCTAGTTGTAGTGAGTGAACCTGTTTGAGTTTTGGTTTTAATAACCATAAATGACATATAATATTTACCTACTTACTGACTGTAACTGTCCAGTCAGCCTTCCCTTCACCCACCTTGTTGCAGATGCAGAAGTTGATAGACTAAGTAGTCACTTTCAGGGTGACTTGGTGGATTAGTGGTTTAAAACTGCTCTGTTCTGATCATGTACCCCCTTGTCTTTCTCAACTCAAATGCAGGTATATATTTGTTCACTTCATTTTTTATTACATGCAGATGCTTTTACTGTTCTAAACTTGGTAGTAATTCTTTTTCTTATTAAGGTTTACATTCATTTGTCAGATAAATACACATTCTAGGAGCTAAAAATGAAACATTTGCAAATAGTATCTACATTTTACAATTCAGTGTGTTATGAACAACTTGAAATAAGTTACTTTGCTTTGAAATCAGCAATGCTCAAAACCAAATCATTTCCATAGCTCCCTCATTCTGCTGCTTGATTTTGCCTCTCTGCGCATCTTTCATCACCTTTGACGTTGCTCACTTCTTGTTTTAATCAATAGTTTAAGACTTAAGTATGGGTGATTTACAGTGGTGTGTTAATTCCTGCGTACAGCAAAGTGATTCTGTTACACACACACAGACACCCTTTTTAATTGTCTTTTCCATGGTGGTTTATCGCAGAACACCAAACACAGTTCCCTGTGCTGTACCGCAGGACCTCGTTTATCCATCTTCCGTATGTGTATTCACTCCCTTCTAACGGGGGGCAAGTGGCCTGTCCTTCCTGGCATCCGTGCAGTAGACTGTCCGCATATTCAACCGTCAGCGCAAAGCTAATGAGAGAGCGGGCTTCCCCGGGGGCTCAGATGGCAAGAAACCTGCCTGCTCTGTAGGATAAGTGGGTTCCATCCCTCGGTTCCATCCGTGGCTGCCCACTCCAGTACTCTTGCCTGGAGAATCCTATGGACAGAGGAGCCTGGTGGGCCACAGTCCCTGGGATCGCAGAGTCAGACACGACTGAGCGATTAACACACACGCGGAGGGAACGGACAGGGCAGCAGTGAGGACTTGACCGCATCTCAAACGTCGAGCAGTGACCGCAGTCAGTGAGAGAGCGGTGACTGCAGGGTCACAGCGTGTCCTTACTCGGGTGGTTCTCATTTGTCTGCAGTGCTTTTGCCGTGGCCCCAGCCGGACCTTAGAGGACCATCCGCTCCCTTCAGAGGGTTGGGCTGGGTGAAGGGCAGGCAGCGGTTTCTCGCAAAGGAGTACGTGTCCCCGCTTCTCCTTACATTCTGCACACCTTTGAGGAAGGGTAGTTGGGAAAAACGTTTGTTGAGTGGACGGTAATGCAAATAAAATGACAATTTTGAGATCAATGACAAAATTTTAACTTGTCTTCCCTCTAAACTGAGTATGAGAAACAACCCCCCCACGCCTGTGGACGACGTTTTTCCAAAGGACCGTTCGGTTAACAGGTGTGTGTCTGGCGTTACAGGTGTGTGCGGGGGTGGGGGGAGCGAAGGTAGGCAGAGGCCTCGCGGCTGGTTCCGGCCAGGCTGACCACGGGTCCGGGGCTGGGCTTCCTGCCCGCCCCGCTTTCCGGGTCCTGGCCCGGTCCCAATGCTCGCGGTAGGGTCTGTGTCCAGGAACCCAGCGGCGCCCGCGCCTCCTCTGCGGCCAGCGCGTCCCCCCTAGACCTCTCTCCCAGCCTCTGCGGCTGCCGCTTGGGTCCCCTCCCCGGCCCTTCCCGGGACCCGCCCCGGCCCCGGGCCCCCGGCAGGGCCCCCTCGCCCGAGGAGGCCGGGCGGTGCTCCTTGCCCAGGATTGGAGAGGGTCGGCCGGCCGGCCCCGGGCACTGCGGCGGCGGGAGCCTGGACGCCCGGCGGTCGGACCTGGCGACGCGGCGCTGAGGGCGCTCCTGAGACCCGAAACTTCCCGAGGGCGCGGGGCTCCTGTCCGGCCAGGCCCGGGGCGGCGGCTAGGCGGCGGGTGGACCCACCCGGCCCGGCCCTGCCTTCCCGACCGCTGGCCGGGGCGCGAGGTCTGAGCGGGCGGCCCCCTGCAGCAGCCCCGGGGCGCGTCTACACGGGCGGCTCCCGGCACTTGGCCCTGGGATGTCTACGCGGGCGGCCCTAGCAGCAGCCCCGGGGCGCGTCTACGCGGGCGGCCCTAGCACCTGGCCCCGGGCGTCGACGAGGGCCGCCCTGGGCACCTGGTCGCGGCGTCTGCAAGGGCGGCCCCCTGCCTCTGGTTGCGGGAGCGTCCACACTGGCGGCGCGGGCACCTGGCCCGGCGTCCACGCGGGCCCGCAGTACCTGCGGCGACCGGAGCGACGGCCAGTTCCCCGCCCGCATCCACACCGTCACCTGGCTCTCCTGGGCACGCCTACACTGAACCAGGGGTCGAGGAGAGCAGTGCAGGCTCTCTTCTGAATGCTTTTTCCTGAATGGCCCCATTTTCATATTCTGCTCGCGGTTCCCAGTCCAGCATTCCATTCTCAAATTCTTTGGGTGATAATTTTGCCAGATTTTCTGAATGGGATTAGCACAGGCCGTTCAGAAATCGCTTCCGAGTTTGTCAGCCGCTGCCATGGAGGGTGGTATGTTTATATCTGAGCTGCTTTCAGGCCCATCTTCAGTGTGTCCTTTAGAATTGTCAGCCTTCATCTCGTTTTCCTTGGGCAAGATTAAACAATTCTATTTTTAAGACCAGCGAAGAAACATATGTATTTAATACTGGGATCATTTGCCACAAGCGAACCACTCAAGTGGCTTGAATGCTGGGGAACTTGGTTGGATTTAAAAGGAATTTCAGGTGGAGGAAACAGTTCATTTGCCACTTTCACCTTCTCAGATAAGTTAAGGACTTAGGTAAGGCCTCAGGTTTCATTTTGAGAGCCAGAGAAATTATGTTTCTGTTGCCTTTCATAAATCCTGTTTATGGTAAGAGTCCCCTGTGGTACTTGATAGCTGATGCTGCACAGTGAACTGGGTGTCTTCACGGATTTATTGTGAACTGCTTAAAAAGCCTATTTTGTTTCCAGTTGTTAACTCTGGAGTTCAGGCACCATGTATTCCAAAGCGAAGCTTGGTTCTCTCAGGAAGCACTTCCGTGTGCTGTTGGGTCCTGGCTCTTCTTTGTGCCTTTACCCCCCAGTGATGGTACTCCTTCTCTGTCTTTCCCTCCTCTTCCCTGGGGGCCCCGGAGCAGCGTCTGACATGGATGTTACATGAGCCACTTTTGAGAGCTGCACACAAGTATGCGTGTCACTGCTGCGTTTCCCTGGGTGAACTAGAGGAAGATGGATGAGTCGGCCCTGCTGGATCTGCTGGAGTGCCCTGTGTGCCTGGAGCGGCTGGATGCCTCTGCCAAGGTCTTACCTTGCCAGCACACGTTCTGTAAACGCTGTTTGCTGGGCATCGTTGGTTCCCGGAATGAACTCAGATGTCCCGAGTGCCGGACTCTGGTTGGCTCGGGTGTGGAGCAGCTTCCAAGCAACATCCTGCTGGTCAGACTTCTGGACGGCATCAAGCAGCGGCCGTGGAAGCCCGGCCCTGTGGGGGGCAGTGGCACCAACTGCACCAGCGCCTTGAAGACTCAGAGCAGTGCTGTGGCCACCTGCAGCCCCAAAGATGGCCCGAGCTCACAGGGTGGACCCCAGCCGCGGGCGCAAGCCTGGAGCCCCCCGGTGAGGGTGAGTAGCCTGCGGAGGCAGTGCGGTGGTTGTTCCGAGCAGATGTTCACATGTCTTCTTTATTCTTTGGGTGTTTTCTACATCAACTCATGGCTGAAGGAGCCACATCATTGGAACAGATAGGAAATTATGTGTCAGGAATTGTTTTTTTTCTTTTTTGGAATGAGATTGGATATAAACAATAAATGGTTTTGTTTTTAGAATTCTCTCCTGGATGGTGGGCCTCTATGGCCTTTTAAGATAAATTTTGAGAAACAGTAGCAATTATTCAATGAAATCTAAAACACAGCAGTTTTTTATGCCAAATGTAAAGTGGAAATTTGTTGTGGTTTTACCTTTTTGATGGCATTGGAAGAGTCATAATTATGCATGTATGTGTGCATATGTGTATGCATATTATAAATAGGTGTGTGGGTAGGTCATAAGTGGGAAATTGAGCTTTAATCTTGATGTGGCTTGGAGCCATTCTATGGGTTTTATGAATGCACAGCACAGAATTTTCTGGTTGGAGGAATTTTTAACAAATCATGGCCACAGGTAGCAGAGTTTTGTTGCTGTAGCAACAGATTGTCATTGAGAGCCGTGCTAAAACAGCAGAGAATCTAGCTTTATGTTGACTTTTATAGGGATTGAAACAAAATGTTTCCATCAGAAAGATTTTTCTGGGGTTTTGGGTTTGGGCTGAAATAATTTCAAGTGTAGCTAAGTATCTCGACAGTTACCACAACAGAAATTTCTAGAAGGTAAGATATTTTGAAGAAGTCTGGATTATGTTGCAGGTGATGACATCCTAATGAAACATGCTTTTCTCATTTTTGTAAACCTCAAAAGTAGTTCTGGACATTTAAAGCAAATCTGTTTCTTGTTTTTTTTTATCCTGGAAGAAATGATTTTAATGATTGGCCAAATTGAGAAAATGCAGTTTTAAAGAACAGTTAATCTGGATGAGAATATTTTTGTCACATACTCATAGTAAATACACAGAACTGACTTTTTTACGTAATGTAGGAGTGACCTTTGGGATATTGTTAAATAGTGTCAACTCACAGGTGTGGCTCCATGGGAGCCATAACAGACGGACTGCCTTTCTACCATTCCTCTCCTTCCTTCTCAAGCCCGTCTCTTACTAATTGTGTGTTTGCATCACTAGATGGTAAGTACAGAAAGTGTGTACTTTAATCGCTGGAAAACAGTTTTATCCTCAGGCTATCAGATTTCTTTTAAGTCACATTTACTATTTTTTTAAGACAGTGAGAACTTTGTGTTTTCGAGGTTTTCTTTGCATATCTGAAGCCCCCTCGTTATGAAATTGCTTATAGGGTTTTCTTAGATTTTGGTTTTTTTTTAAATGGAGTTTACACGATTAGCATTCATGGACTCATGAATATTTCAAGCTCAGAACCTCTGATCAAATTAGTCATTTCTGAGACATCTGACCCAGGTCTGCTTCTCTTAACTAGGGATTGGATTTGCTTCTTGGAAGGATTTTGTTTCCTTGTTAATTATGCTGGAGAGTCATAGCTTCTGGCTGTGAATAGAAGCGTCTCATCAGTTGACAGGTTGCCTTACCTGTTGTGAGGAATGTGGTGAATGTTTGATTACTGATAAAAAGAAATTTAAGACAAGGGCTCAGCGTTCAACTTGGTGTCCTTTGAATTCTAAGGTTTTGTTTTTTTCTTACTTAGAAACTGACAGCGTGATGCTGGAATGTTCATTTATTTGAGCTGCTAATCTCCCAAAATTAACCGACACTTTTCTTAGATACGTTATTTTGAGGTTTTGATGGTGTCAGTATTATTATTCTGACTGATTATGGTTTTCCTAATTTACTTTGTGTTTCTTCTTTAGCATAAGAAAAATTACTCGCCAAGAAGCTCAACTGAGCTTGAGCCTTAAAACTTGGATAAGGTAGTTGAGGCCATTAAAAATAGAAGGTGATGTCTGTTACTTGGCGGGGGATGGGGGGACATGGCACTGAGAGTGGAGGACAAAATAACAAAGAAATGAAGTTGTTCGGTAATGTGGGTGGATGCAGATGCTGCAGTTCTTATAAAAAGAACTTTTCCCCCACCTAGTCTAAAATAATTTCTCATTAGCAGTTACTGGTACCTTTTACTTTGAAATATTCAAAATAACCAGGTATACAGAAACAGCACCAGCACCTAAAAGATAAATACATTTCAGAAAATGTTCCTTTATTTCTTTTTTCTTTTAAAAAATTTATTTAACAAAGTGATTCAGTTATACATACCTTCTTTTCCTAATCTTTTCCATGATGGTTTATCCCAGCTTCTTGACTATATTTCCCTGCTCTTCAGTAGGGCCTAGTGTTTATCCATCCTGTATATACTAGTTTGCATCTGCTAACCCCAAACTAGGAAAAGCTGCTTTTAAAAGTGAGAGCCTTGGAGTTGTCCACCAGCCCCTGGGGTGTCCCCTGAGGTGAGAGAATCCCAGATCCTTAGCTGTTCCGACACCAGCCAGGGGATGTGAGAGCCTGTACCCACCGTGGCGGAAGCTGGTGCTGATAGCACGTGTTATGCTGTTTGGTTATTGGTTATGATCCTGTGAAGAACTGGCTCATTGGAAAAGACCCTGGTGCTGGGAAAGATTGAGAGTGGGAAGAGATGGGGGCAACAGAGGATGAGATGGTTGGATGGCATCGCTGACTCGATGGACATGGGTTTGAGCAGACTCCAGGAGATGGTGAAGGAAGTCTTCAGGGAAGCCTGGCTTGCTGCAGTCCACGGAGTTGCAAAGAGTCGAAGGAGACTGAGGGACTGAACAAGAGCAAACCTGTTCCTCGTTCCGTGAGATCGTGGCCATGTGGCTTTCTCGCGCGAGTGTCTCAGGGAGACTGGCTGTTACCAGCAGATATGAACATTTCTGACATATGACGCACATCCTGTTCCCGGAATTTTAGTGTTTTTTGCCTCGTGTGTGTGTGTGCTGTCGCTTCAGTTGTGTCCAACTCTGTGACCTGCCAGGCTCCTCTGTCCATGGAATTCTCCAGGCAAGAATACTGGAGTAGGTTGCCGTGCCCTCCTCCAGGAGGTCCCCCTGACCAGGGATTGAACCCAAGTCTCCTGTTTCTCCTGCACTGGCAGGCAGGTTCTTTACCCACTGTGCCACCTGGGAAGCCCTTCTTGCCACATTTTGTTGTCGTTCAGTCACTGAGTTGTGTCCAGCTCTTTGTGACCTGATGGACTGCAGCACACCAGGCTTCCCTGTCCTGCGCTGTCTCCCAGAGTTTGCTCAAACTCATTCCATTGAGTCAGTGATGCTCTCTAATCTAACCACCTCATCCTTTCTTGCCCCTTCTCCTCCTGCCTTCAGTCTTTCCCAGCATTCATGATCTTTTCCAGTGAGTCGGCTCTTCACCTCAGGTGGCCAAGTATTGGAGCTTCAGTTCAGCATTTGTCCTTCCAATGAATATCCAGGACTGATTTCCTTTAGGATTGACTGGTTGGATCTCCCTGCAGTCCAAGGAACTCTCAAGAGTCTTCTCCAACACTGTAGCTCAAAAGCATCAATTCTTCGCCACTCAGCTTTCTTTATGGTCCAACTCTCACATCCATGCATGACTATTGGAAAAATCATAGTTTTGACTAGATGGACCTTTGTCTCATATGAACGATCAAATGGAAAAGTGTTGGGTCGATGTCACCACAGGGAGCTGGCAGCTCTTTACTTCACGTAAAGAATTCCTTTGATCCAAGAGCCAAAGGTGACCAGGGGAATGAGGTGCAGGATGGGGGTGACTGTAGATAACTGTTTCCATGGACTGAAAAACACCTACTGAAGATGGGTTTTGCATATGTAAGTATATGCACAGTCAGACATGGACAGCATGTGTGAGTGGTTCCTGTAGAATTATGACTAATGGAATAGATTTCTGCTTTCTGAGTGTGGCTCCACTGGTTCCGTAGCCGACACCTGTGCCCGTGTCCATCTGTCTAGGTGTTGTTACATAACAGCTTCACACTGCTGCTCCCTCAATGTGAGCATATTCAGCAGCATTGATCACACGACCCCTGGTTGGCACTAACTTGTATTTCATGTAGTCTTTCCTTTATCTGGCAAATATTGATCAAGCACTTAACTAGGTGCCAAGCATTGCCCTAGCTGCTGAATATATAGAAGTGGGCAAACCAGATGCAGATTCTGCTTAGGAACTTGCATGTCAATCTGATGGGGAGACACACCTTTGATAGTGTGTGAGCAGTGCAGCTAGGTCATCCCAGGTGTTAGGCAGGGAGCTGGGGAGAGGATGGATGAGGGGCAGGTTTAGCATGAGGGTGTATGTGTGTGTGAGAGAGAGAGAGAGCTGGAGAGAGGATGGGCAGGGGCCTGGTTTAGGGTGAGGGATGTGTGTGTGTGTGTGTGTGTGTGTGTGTGTGTATTCACAAGCTTCTTGAGGCCAAGGCATTTGAGTTGAGGTCTTCAGGGTGAATGGTGTTAATTAGTTGGGAGGGGCTGGGCAGGAGAAGGGGCAGAGTGTTCCAGGGGCCTGACCCACATGAAATGAGGCCAGGCACCTGCACACAAGTGGGGACAGAGTGACAGAAAAGCGAGGGGCAGGCCGTGGCCTGAGAGGAGCCCCCGGGGCCACACTGCGTTGGGCACTGGGAGCCGCGCACCATGTGGCCACACTGGTCCGTGCTCTGCTCAGAGCCAGAAGGAAGGGCCTCTGGGCCTGAGACAACCGTCAGGCTCAGGCAGAAAAGGTTGGAGCGTGGTGTCCGGGGACCGGGAGATGGGGAAGGCGAGGAGTTCTAGAAACCGGGGCACAGGTGAATCCCCTTCTCCTGTTTTCATTTCTCCCTGGTTACACTTCCCTCTCTCCATGGCGCTGACTGTGAGGGGTGAGCTGTGCCCTCCCAGACCTAGGAGTTGAAGTCCTGTTCCCTTGTTCCTGGGACTTCCCAGGTGGTACTGGAAAGAACCTGCCTGCAATGCAGAAGACATGAGTTGGATTCATTGGGTCAGCAAGATCCCCT